CTCGTGCTGTGTGTAGAACCGTTTTCCTAGTGAATCTTGCCTTCTCGTGCTGTGTTCAAAGTAGAACCGCCTCTGTTTTGTAATGTTTGCCTCCAGAGGTGGTTCAGACTTGATTTGATCCAGGGCCCACTTGTTCATCTTTCTGGCAGTCCAGCATATGGACAAAGACCAGCTCCATATTTCAAATGAATCAATTTTCCCCCGGTTATCTTTCATTACTGTTCAGCTTTCACACCCGTACACTCTGACTGAGAATACAACAGTGTGGATGATCTTTCCTAATTCCTTCATTGCTGCCCTTCTGAGTCTCGGTCTTCTCCTAATCTCTTGGCTGCAGTCTCTGGCTGTAACCCAGAATTTCTTACAATCCACACAGTCAAAGCTCTCTAATCCACAAAATTAATCCATCTTCTTGTTGCTTGTGAAATAGCCAGCTACTCATTAAGCACCTCACATTACAAATGTATGAATAACAATAGTTTAAGATTAAATGCAATGCAATTGCTTTAATTATAAAAGCCCAGTCTTTGAGAGCATGAAGCAGATAAGGAATCACAGGCAGAAATCATTTCCATTGTGCCCTACAATAGAGTGTGCACGTGATGCCATTTAATGTAACATTTAGCTCAACTTCCCCACTGGGTCTGCTAAGATGGCACCATAGCTACAGGAAGTTAAACCTAGAGGGAGACCATTAAAAAAGTTGCATGAATCGTTTCATGACCTAAATCCTTTGACTCCTTTTGCATAGTGATCTTGATAAAGGAAGCTATCCAAACTTCACCGAAGCGATTTCTGCAGACAGATCTGAAAGAGCATCTTCTGACATTTTTCCCAAGCATAGATGAAAGCCACAGATCTTCGAAACATGGCAGGCTACCATTTTACAACAAAGACCAGGAGACAATGCTCTTTATTCCTGGACTTCAAGCACTTTACTGTGTGCTCATGATCTTTTCCTCCATTTTGTCTTGCTTTTTAATCAACTACAGTTTACCTTCGTTAATCTGAAGGTAAAATGTCTGACTAATCACTTGGGCTAGAACAGGAGTGCTACTTACCTTGGGTTTGAGGTGTTATTTTACCTCAAGAATTGGCACAGCTGGTGATCTAACTAACGTCCATGCCCTATGGAGTTCCTCCACCAATCTCTAAAACCCCCTGATGCGGCTGAGACCTCCTTGCTCTTGCTAACTATTCACTCGTCCCCTCTGAGCAGCAAGGAAAAAAGAGCAGTTACCATATGTCACTCCCATGACCTCAAAAACTGGCATGGGTGCTTTTATTTACTCAACACTAAATTGCTGTGTGCTAGGAAAAGTACATTTGAACTAGATTGACTCCTTAAAGAAAGCCACGGCCTTGCATTTGCAAGACCTTTGCAGGCAATTAGTGACAGGACATTTTGGAGATTGCTCGTTTATAGGGTCACCATTAAGTCAGAGGTAAGTTGGAGGCACATAGCAACAACAGCACACGGCTGTGATATTAGACAACTAGGACATGCAACAAAATGTTACAGAGCGAGCACTTCTTGACCAAGCCTATTATTTATAGCAGTTTGATCCTGTTTTCTTGTCATGGTTCCGTTCTGTGGAATCCTGGGCTTTCTAGTTTGGTGAGTACAGTATTGAATTGCCTACTGTAGTTCAAGGGTGTGGACTAGATTTATCTAGCAGAGAATTCTAATTATCCCAACAAACTAAAAGCCCTAGGATTCTATAGGATGCAGGCATAGTTGCTAAGTAGGCTCAAACTGCTGTTAAGTGTGTGCTAGAGATATACTCCAAGATTCCAGCCACTCTATTCCACTATCCCTCCCTCCTCCCTCCACTCTATTCCACTATCATGAGGTCACGCCTTCCTCACTGGGAAGTCATCACAAGTTTAGCTACATATGCAAGAGGACTCAAGAGTCTCAATATCAGAAAAAAAGGGAGAAGTGGCAAGAAGAGGAGAGAAAAATCTCATACACGGTTTGTACATTTTATTTCCATTACGTTTTAATTAAGTCCTTCTGCATACAATACAATAACTTTTGAAAACTATACCAAAAGGTAAGAAATCCTAACTCATTCCTCTCCTTTGCTGGTTTTGTATGCCATTAAGGTATCTTTTTTATCTTTATCTGCACTTGTATCAGAAACATGTATCAAGCTATTATTGGACAAAACACACTTTTTTTTACATTCCCAAATAAAAGATGTACATTTTCCTTCCCCAGCTTAAGAAAAAGAAGGACCAGCAATGGCTCTAAAACTTGAGGATCTTGTTATATATCGCATTTGTAAAAGTGCTGCCTGATACTTCTACAGCAGTCATAAATTCAAACTGCAAATATGCTGAATCCTTACAGATTAGAAGAGATCACTTGTATTCCTGTTCAAATACAGTATTTGCAATTGGGACAGAAAGCTAGTAAGTCTAAAATTATCATGTCCCATGCATTCCATTGTTCCTCATTAAAGCAGTTGTACATCTGGAGCATCAACAAATTTCAGCTGCAAAATGTAATCCATTTATTTTGGAACTAATCCACTGATTTATGATGGCTACTTTGCAGTATGCAATGGGCTACAGCATAATTACCCATATTTCTGTAAACTATTACTCAATTTAGCTCCTGCAGCAAATATCCTATAGAACTTTTATACCAATGTAATGAAATTGGCAAGTATCTCATTGGTGAATAGCTGTGAATTAAGAAGGCCTTTGTTGATGAGCACCAAGTCACACAAGTTGGCATGCAACACCAAATGAATGCCTATACTGACTGCTTAACTTGTAGTAACTGGTGCCCAACACCTCTGCCAACTGCATTGCAACAGCAGGCACAACAAATAGGATTTTGGCTGGTGTTCAGTGATAAATTTGTTAGTCTTGATGGTGCCAAAGGACTGTATGTAGGATTTTCAAAAATGTCCTCTGTTGGTTAAAAAAACAGAAAAGAAATAATAATTTTAAAAAACTGCTGTTAGGAAGAAACAAACCTGGCTTTCCTAATTTTGATACAGAATTGTCACTCAGCTAAAGAGATAAACAACTAGGAGTGAGTACAAATGTTCAGAAAAAGAAAGACCATCATTTTTTTTACACTCTATACCAATAAAACCAAAATGCTTTCGGCGAGGCTTTATGCTGCATCTGATGAATAATCCATGGGGTAAGATTCTGGTAGGCTAACAAACCTTTAGAGCACCCTAATAACGTGTCAGTGTTACACATTTCATCCTTTTCACTTTGTCCCCACCCGCCCACCCAACCCAAGACACTGCCA